CCCCATTTCCGTTTCAGGTGGCAGAGGAATATTGACTATTCCAACAGAACTCAATGGGATTTACAAAATGCTAAATAAAACACTACAGGAACGGTTTTTCTTTACGAAACTTTTTTTGGAACGTCATTGAACAGCGCTGACGACCCGGTGAGTAGCATATTTTAAAAAAATAACGTTTAAGGTTGTTTTAAGGACATTATCGGACATGCTCTATGGAAGCCATTCTGAAGCAGCCAGGGTGTGATTCTAAATGAGCCAAAAGCAGACCAATTGTCAAAAGTTTGGTGTCGATCATTCGATTTCATCCTGGACACTACAGAAAATGGGCTTAAAGTGTTAAAAAGTGAACTTCTCCTTTAAGGACAGTACAGAGTTTTTACAGATTTAGAATAAAAAAAACTGTAAAAGACTGCTTTGAATTCAACCTCAGTTAAATCAGCATGAATGTTTTACATAACTAAAGCAGCATGAGTGGGCGTTTATCATTTTAAAACTATTTACCAGGTTCATCTCTCTTTAATATCCTTTTCACTCACATACTGTATGTTTTCCATAGATATGTGACCACCCTTTATGTTTGAATACAAATTCAATCATGATCCAGTTGTTCCTTTCACCGTGAATGTCCTGATATTTGCATACTCACATTTTTCTTGCAGAGGGATATGATCTTGTGGATGCCACATCTTTGCTAAATGACGACATGATAGAGGATGATGATGGTGCTAGCTCCTCTGCCTATGCAGAGTTGGAGCGGCTAGAGAGAGAGACCGCAGCTGCTCGAAGCCAGCATAGCACTAGCTCCACTGTAACGGCCATTTCCGTCCCGCCAGCAACCCCACCTTCATATAGGGTTCCCGCTGCCTCACCCATAGCCACCACTGAGCCACCGGTTCCCCAGGCCCTCCAGGCTTTTAAGGAGTCCGCTAACATGGTTGCTGCCTTCAACTTGCAATGGAAGGATGAAATCTCTGCAATGCGCTACGAGCTGGCGGAGCTGCGTAGAGATGTCTGCGGGGAATTAAAAACTTTTAACAGCAACTTCTTCAACTTCACTCAGTGCTACAATATGTGGACTTTATGCCGAGAGCCCTGCAGCGACAGCACCACACAGACAGACGACAGAGTGTCCATAGGAATTCAAGCTGGCTCCAGCTGGTCAGTTAGACAGAATACAGAGGACAAGTCAGTGATGTGCCAACCAGAGCCTGCACCCTTCAGCATTATGGACTTTATGGACCCACCTCGAATTGAAATTATTGAAGGAACTCCTGAGAGCACACCGGAGGGGTCAGGCAGTCCGGCCAGCCCACTGCCAATAGAGGACTTCCCATGGGAGATTAACAAGAAGCAAAAGGCTCATAAGCAGCCAGATACCAGTGGCCACACAGGTGGTCACCGAAGTGCCAGTCTAGAACTGTGGAGCAGAAAATACACCAGTGGGCCCATGTCATATCTGTCTATGTCATTCTAATCATCTACATTTTCTGCATACTGTAAAAGGAGTGAAGAAGATCCGGGTTAAGAGCCAGATGTAATTCAAGAAAAGCTGGGCGAAACTGTTATATGTCCCTTTACTCTATGCAGACACAGGGTCTGTCATCTCTTGAATTGCATACAATAAGTTTAAAGTACTTTTTTTAACAAGTGTCTTGCTAAGCCATGAAAAAAAAAGAGCGTAATTTTGTTTTACAG